CCCACCCCCACATTATAGTATTTATCTTTTACCTGCTTCAGGCACTGTTAGCAAAAACAACTGAAAAAGATGCAAGTGAAAACCAACCAATTATTAAAAACACTGGTTTATGTCAAACTTATGTTAAAAACAGGAACCACCCTGACTGCATCTTTACTTACAACAGCTGCAAGCATTAAACATGGAGACTAAAATAACTGAATAATTGAACATGATGTTTTTATTTGGTGGAAGTTTAATGGAACCCCAAAGTGCTGAACCCGAGAGCTGATGCAAATGGCTTCCACAGAACCACTTTGGTGATCAGAAAACTGACCTCCAGACTCATTTACACAGGAAAATAAAGTTGGAGCRTTTCAGGACTATGGTAGAAAACCAGGGACTTGGGAGTCACTTTTAAAATGGTTACGTTTCCTAAATGGCACTGAAATGGTCCAATGTAATTATAGCAATGTAAGGTTTACAGTGACTAAAGATTTATTTAAAGGAAAACTTGAGTAATCTCAAGAAATGACAATATTAGTCTGTTGAGCAGCTAGTTACACTGATTAGATTAAAAAAAACATTTCCTGTTCTGTTCAAACTAATTAAATCCATAAAAATAAATAAAACCTAAACTACCATTAGTAAAAACAATCGTATTTAGCCTTGTGTTTGAACATACAGCACGCATTTTCCCTCAACAAAATCCATAGCTTTGACCATTACTGACCAATCGAACTGACACCAGTCTGAAAAAAAAGTTTTGGAAAAGTTTACCTACTTATGATTTTGATCCCATGATTTATTGTTAATTTTTTCAAACGAGACTCAAATTAACGTTAATAAAGTAAAACGTCTCTATTCTTGGACAACAGTCTGAACTTTCCCGTGACGCCGTTTCCCTCAGGATGCACTGTAWTCGCAAAGAAATACCCAAAACTTTTCCAAATATGTGAAAAACCAAAACTGTAGCCTCCGGCCTCATGTGAAACACTCAGTGCTTTGTGCTGACAGGGTAAACTATAGACCATGTTCAAAATTACACGTGATTAGTGCAAAGACATTCCTTGTTGTTGTAAACATGTTGACATAGAAGATAGGTTTTTTTTGGCTAAAAGCTGCACATTGATCAGGCCCAGCCTCACAATAGCAAGTTTGATTATTGCTTAAATGTTAATCTGAGAAGCTGAGTCATGTTTGTTTTTTTGTGTGCTGCGATATGTTTAAAAAAAAATCTTGGTTCACAAGCTGACCTTGTTTTCTTCTACATACAAAGATACGGAGCCCGCGAGGGGACATGGGAGATGTTTTTTTCTTTTGCGTTCCCTCGCGAAAGTAGTTTATCACTGTTGTGCCTGCCGGTTTATTAACAAACTCATATGTTCACCATTAGCGAGTTAGCCTACTGCTTTAATTCAGCTTCAGGATGAATATATCACACAACCACGCATGGAAGTATGTCATATGCCGATATTTTAACACAGTGTAGCCACGCAACATCAATGTCAATTTCACGAACTTGTGGCGACACATCCTGTTTAGGTAATGGGATATTTCAAAACAAAAGTCTGATTTAATTCAGTTCATATACAAAACAATCGTTTGCGTGAGAACGCAAAACAATTTTGCGAGGTAGCGCAAAAGTATTGCGAGGTAATGCAAAGATATTGCTAGGTAACGCAAAAATATTGGGAGGTAACGCAATCTTATTGCGTGGGAACACAAAAGAAAAAAATCTCCCCATGTCCCCTCGACATGCAAAGCTCCGTACAAAGATAATCCATCCAGCATCAGAAAAGCAAGTTTTTACAACAAAGCCTAACTTTTTAAGCTTTGGTATTTTTATTTGGTATTCATTTCATGATTGGTGGTAACCGCTACATAATAAAATAAAGTAAGTGTAATTTGAGATCAAATTGTGATTTATCATTTAAACATATTGTAATAGATAAAAGCAGATGATTTGTTGTACTTTTTCCTGCTGACTAATGTGATTATTAAGGCTAAACTGAAAAATATTGAGCCAATCTTTCCATTACCATCTGATTTAAATGCATAAATAGAAAAGGTTTTTGGTTGTTTCAAAGGCAGTAATGTTTACAGATGGTCCTGGTCCTTGGGTTGCTGTTTGAGTGAAACAGTGATGTCAGGTTTGGGGAATTCACAGCTGCAGCCCAGCAGGATCGGCTCTGACCTAGCCAAACTACCAACGGAGCAAAAAGCCCATCACTGGCAACAAATAAACATCACGTTCTGATAGAAGCAAAGCTGTTTCACATCTTGGAAAATATCAATAAAATATTGGCAAATTTGGACTTTCTGCAAAGGAGTTCATCAGGAAAGAAAAATTAAAATGTGAAAACTGAAAACTAGGGCACAAAAAATGAAACAGCTGACATTTGGAAGAAAATAAATATGAAAAAAAATACAGAACAGTTTTTAAGAAATGACTTTGACTACGCAGTTAATCTGACAGAGCAGGACTGTATATGATTATTGATTTATGGTCCTTGCATGGCTTTTAGCACATTTATAAGTAGAACAATTCAGTCAATTAGGCTTTATGATGAAGTTAGAATCGATTTAGTTTCTCTCGAGGTGTAACTCTCTTTCAGTAACACACACACACACACACACACACACACACACACACAC